GGGGTCTGTGTGTCCCCATCCCATGGGATGCTCCCTGGGGTCTGTGTGTCCCCATCCCATGGGATGCTCACCAGCCCCATCCTGGCACCCGCTGCCTCATCCCGAGGCTTTGCTCACAGTGGGGAATAAACCTCCACCGTGTGTGTGGGTGGGTTTTGGGGTGCCAAGAGCTCGGCTTAAATCCCTCTGGCATTCCCAAGCCACTCTTCCAGCCCCGTTTCTCCACAGCATGGGTGACCCTGAGCAGGGAAATTCCCCCTCTGCAATTCCCCCTCTGCTCTGCCCTCGCTGTCTCCATTAGAGACATCTCGCAAGGAGCAGCTGGTTCTGAGGGGCTGCAGGGCCTGAATCCATCTCTCCAGCAGCATTCCCGGGGCCCTCTGGGATCCTGGCAGGAGGGAATGGATGTTTTTTGCAGTGGGATGCTGTGGAGCAAACAGGATCAGGGCTTGGGGCTGCCTGGATGTGTCTGCCCCAGCCCAGCGTGTGGGAAACGGCCTCAGGAGCCTGATCCCAAATCCACGGCCTCATCCTGGGCTCCAGAGACCTTGGTGCTCTGCTGGGAAGATGGGAGAGGAGAGAGAGATGGGAGCAGGATGCTTTGGCCCCAGGTTGGAGCAGGAGCCCCCTGGGATGGGGTGTTGAGGAGGGGGAAGGACAGACGGGAAGGAGCTGCTTTCCCAGGGGATAAGGATGTGCTGGTTGGAGAGCCTGGCCCCATTCCAGGCTGCTCCTCTGGCAGCAGCCAGGGAGAAGGGAGCTGTGCCAGCCTATTGAGGGCACAGGGAGGGGGCCACACCACCCTCACCTGCCCCAGGTGGGGAAGGTTACCTTGGGCAGCTCCGTGTGCCCTGAGCCCCCCCAGCATTCCAGGGCTGCCTCCAGCCACCCCAATCCCTGGCACGAGGGGCTGAGCCCGCCCTACATGTGGCAGAGGGGACAGTCACCCCCCCCAAAGAGCCACTGCCCCCCAGGTGGGACCCCCCAGCCCAGGGGCTGCTGCCCCCCCCAGCCTGGGCCGGCCCTGAGTCACCGTTTTCCCGACAGCTCCGCAAGAGCCCATCACTGGCACTAAAAATAATCCCTGAAAGGCGGCCAGGAACAGGGCTGTGGCTC